CACACGGGCACACGCAGCACTCTGTCACAGGAAGCGCCTGACACAGCTCCAGCTCCAGGTCCTGTCCGGCATGCCAGGGGTCTGTTGTGGGGGCCGAGGGGGAGCCGCAGGGCCCTCCGGGGTCTCAGGTGCTCAGGGGGCCCAGGACTGTCAAACCATCTCCGCCAGCCCATTGCATGATGGGTCGTCCTGCTGTAGAGCGCCTGGTGGCCCGGGTCCTGCCCGCACCATCAGCGCTGATCGCTGCCCCGAGCTCAGGTGCCCACACACTGGGCCAGTGCCCTGGGGGTGAGGAGGCCATGCCCTGGGTCCATGGTGCTGGGAGAGGTTGAGCTATAATTCCTGGGGCTGAGGCGTGAGTGAGCTGGCTGCTGTCACTGCCATGTCCCCACCTTAGGTAGACACAGGCCACCCAGAGCAAGTCTGCCAGGACCCATGAACAGCGATGGGAGGCCCAGGCTGCCCATGCTGGGCCAGTCCCCAGGGAAGCCGAGGGTCATGCTATGAAGAGGAAGCGGACACCAGGCTGGCTGGGGGCCCAGCGCGTGCGGCTCGGGTTACAGGCTTGGCTCCAGGCCCCTGAGGCAGGTGCAGTGAGGGACATCGCCCGTAGACCCAGGGCCAGGAGCCTGACCACCCGTTGCCCCTGTCCAATGCCCAGCTGGCGTCCTCAAGTGTACCTGCAGGATCGGCTGAGTGTAGGAGTTCAGGAACGTAGGTCCAGCCCTGCCCTTTCCTGGGGACCAGGTGACTGTGGCACCCGCTCATGTCCACTCCCCAGGGCAGGCAGGGGCTGCTGGACCTGGCACTTAGCTGCCACTGCAGGGACACAAACGCACTATGCCCTGGCCCCTTGGGACACCCCTTCCCAGTGTGCAGATGCCCCCAGGGAAGCCGGGCCCGGCACCCACCCCGCAGGCTCCTGGCAGCAGGAATCAGAGGCAGAAACCGGAGAGGCCTGCGGGGGGGGTGGTGGTGGTGGGGGGGCGGCCATCGGATAGCGGCCGCCAGCGAGTTTTCCACGGGCACCTCTGCCATGCCAGGGAAGTGCCAGGTGGGGCCGGCTAGTGGGCGCGGGGCGGCCAGCTAGGCAGAGAGGCCAAGGGACCAGGGGCACGAGAGGGACCCGGGGGACACAGGGGACGCGGAGGTCAGCCTGCAGAGGCTCCAGCCACACGGGGGGAGGGGGAGGCTGAAACCCAAGCTGGCCGGGTCAGATCCGGCCCCCAGCCGTGCTGACCCCACGCCCTCTGCTGCCCGCAGCACGTCGGAGGCGCAGGCCGTGAGAAGGGGAAGGGACCCGGCCCATGACGCTGGCCGGCCCAGGGGGAGGTGGGCCGTGACGCCGAGATGCCCGGTGGGGGGCCACGCCAGGTGCTCCGGCTGCAGTTTGGGCTCCTGAACGACGCGGACCACTACCTGACGGCCGAGAGCTTTGGCTTCAAGGTGAACGCGGCAGCGCCCAGCCTCCGGAGGAAGCAGACGTGGGTGCTGGAACCCGGCCCTGGGCAGGGTCCCGCCGTGCTGCTGCGCAGCAGGCACCTGGGTCGCTTCCTGTCGGCCGCGCAGGATGGGCGCGTGGGCTGCGAGGCCGAGCCCGGCCCTGACTGCTGCTTCCTGGTGCTGCCACAGCCCGATGGGCGCTGGGCGCTGCGCTCGGAGCCGCACGGCCGCTTCCTGGGCGGCTCCGAGGACCAGCTGTCCTGCTTCGCCACTGCTGTGTCCCCAGCCGAGCTGTGGACCGTGCACCTGGCCATGCACCCGCAGGCACACCTGCACAGCATTGGCCGGCGGCGCTACGCACACCTGTGCCGGGAGGAGGACGAGATGGCCGTGGACAGCGACATGCCCTGGGGCGTGGATGCGCTCATCACCCTCACCTTCCAGGACCGCCGGTACTGCCTTCGCTCCTGTGACAGCCGCTACCTGCGCTGCGACGGGCGCCTGGTGTGGGAACCCGAGGCGCAGGCCCGCTACACGCTCGAGTTCAAGGCCGGCAAGCTGGCCTTCAAGGCCTGCGATGGCCACTACCTGGCCCCTGTGGGGCCTGCAGGCACGCTCCGAGCGGGCCGCAACACCCGCCCTGGCAAGGACGAGCTCTTCGACCTGGAGGAGAGTCACCCGCAGGTGGTGCTGCTGGCTGCCAACCACCGCTACGTGTCTGTGCGCCAAGGTGGGTGCCAGGCTGGCGTGGGTGGCCCCGCTGGGAGGCGGGCTATGGGCAGTCGGGGTGGAGGTGGTGATGGAGAGGAGGGGTGAGGGGGGTGAGAGCTGCAAGTCAGGGTGATGATGTGACGCAAATGGAAGAGAGGAGGGGGGAGGTGCCGGGGGAAGGGTCCGTCCCATGCTTCTGGCCACAGCTAGCAGTGCTCAGGGGCCCCTCTGTGGGGTTGAGGGTGCAATGGTGTCTGGCCTCTGAGCAAAATCCCCTGTGCTATTTCCCAGCCTCCGACTATTTTTGAGGTACATCCAGTGGGGCGCAGGGGGTTATGCTGGGTGGGACTGAGCCCAGCCACCCCCCACGCACCGTCCTTCGGCCTGTCTAGCCCATGGCTTCTTTTGGTAGGTGTTCTTTTATTTTTATTTATTTTTTTGCTTTTTGAGTCACACCCGGCGATGCACAGGAGTTACTCCTGGTTTATGTACTCAGGAATTACTCCTGGCGGTGCTCGGGGGACCGTATGGGATGCTGGGAATCGAACCCAGGTCTGCTGCGTGCAAGGCAAACGCCCTACCCGCTGTGCTATTGCTTCAGCCCCTTGGTGGGTGTTGGAGCCACCTCGGAAGGTGCTCCAAGCTTACTCCTGGCTCTGTGCTCAGGAGTCACTCCTGACAGCTGCTCGGGGGGCCCACATGGTGCTTGGGTACAGGACCAGCCCTCAGCACTGTACCGTCCCTGGTGCTGGCACTTAAACTCTCACTCGCAAACCTTTTGCTAGAAAAATTTTAGATATGCAGGTGCATAGAATAGATATACAAATCAAATTCAACACCAGTAATTAATTGCAAACACATTCTAAAATTTCTCATATGGGGGTCCGGGGCAAGAGCAGGGTTGCCACCGAGGCTTGATCCCTGGTACCCCATCCCTGAGCACGCCAGGACTCAGCCCTGAGCACTGCTGGGTGTGACCCTAAACAAAACCCAAAACATTGTCCCATATGGGCCTTGGCCCCAATTTACTCAGAGGGACTCTGGCAGCTCAAGGTCCTAGCCTGGTCCCCATGTGCAGATCTGCCCCCACCTTTGGGTGCTGCGGCCAGGACTTCTCCTCCCTTACTGCCAGTCTCACAGTGGTGAGGGTCCCCGCAGGGCATGCAGCTGGGTTGTCCTGTCCCAAGTGTCCCTAATCTAAGGGCCTGGAGCGTGGCTCCCTGTGCTCCTCCAGGGATCAATGTTTCCGCCAACCAAGATGAGGGGCTGGACCACGAGACTTTCCTGATGCAGATTGACCGGGAGACGCACAAATGCACCTTCTATGCCAGCACGGGCGGCTACTGGGCTTTGGTCACCCACGGGGGCATCCAGGCCACAGCGGCCCAAGTGTGAGTTTATGCACCCCCTCCCCCGTCCACCCGGACCCCTGGGGTGGTGGGGCCTGAGGCAGGCGTGGGAGCCTGAGGGCCTGCCCGCCCCACAGCTCGGCCAGTACCATGTTCGAGGTGGAGTGGCGTGGCCGCCGGGTGGCCCTGAAGGCCAGCAACGGGCGCTACGTGAGCATGAAGAAGAATGGGCAGCTGGCAGCCATCAGCGACTTCGTGGGTGAGCCAGAGTCCCACTGGGGCTATCCCAGCGGCTGGGGTCTTGGGCTGGTCTTACGGAGGTCTCCGTCTGCAGGCCACGATGAGCTCTTCACCCTGAAGCTCATCAACCGGCCCCTTCTGGTGCTGCGTGGCCCTCATGGCTTCATCCGCCAGCGGCGAGGCTCGGCCCAGCTGGACACCAATTGCTCCGCTTATGATGTCTTTCAGCTCAGCTTCAGCGATGGTGCCTACCACATCCGAGGTGGGCTGGGTCACACCCGGGGGGAGCAGGGGCCCTGGGGAGTGGTCAGTTGCAGCCAACTGACCCTGCCCTGGGCCCAGGCCGCGGCGGCGGTTTCTGGCACACAGGCAGTCACGGCCGTGTGCGCAGCGACGGGGACTGTGCTGAGGACTTTGTGCTGGAGTTCCGGGCCTGTGGACGTCTGGCCATCCGCGCCCCCAGTGGCCAGTACCTGCGGGGAGGCGCCTCAGGGCTGCTGCGAGCTGACGCCGACACGCCCTCGGGCTTTGCACTCTGGGAATTCTGAGCCACACCCCAATAAACGAAGTCTGGAACGGGGGCTCTGGGCCCTCACCCCAATCATCTGCTCCCACTCACAAGGCCCCTCAGCAGCAGGGCCCTAGCGGGAGGGATGGCCCCCACCAGGCTGATGGGTGAGACCCAAGACACACTGCAGCCCTCCAGGAGACACCCCCGGGGCCTCCCAGGCTCCCAGCACTTGGGGTAGAAAGGGGCTGCCCCCGACTAGTGGGACCCCCAGCAGTGGGACTCCCACCTCCCACCTGTCCCGGGGGCTAGCAAGCCACGGTGGGGTGGGCACCTCCCTCATGTGCGTTCCTATGAGGTACAAGGCTGAGGACCCTTGGGGCAGGGTGCGTGTAGGGAGAAGCCCGTCAGGCCTGTCCACTGTCTGTCATCCCCTTGAGACCCCGGGCCTCAGTCCTGTCCCACACCCCCATCGTCCCCTGTGGCATCCCCCAAACCCACTACACTGATCCGGAAGTTTTCCCAGGCCCCTGCTGAGGGCTGTCGGGGTGTGCGTTGGAACCTTCCGGGCCAGCAGCAGACACAGGACCCCCAACTCTGCCTCACAGGGGCCACGGTTGCTGGACTCAAGCTGACCCCAGGGACCAAGCCAAAGGCACTGGATGGGCCCCTGAGCTGGGGACAGCTAAGCCCCTGGTCCCTGTCCCAAAAACTGCTCTCTCCACGGTGCCCTCTGGGCTCAGGCTGGGTCACAGCAGCAGGGGCCCGGGGCTGCGCAGCTGCTGGAAGGCCCGCAGGAGGCGCTGGGCCGTGGCGCGGGGGGTTGCAGGCTCCCCGAGCCTTAGCTGCTCCTGCAGGGTCCGGATCTCCCGCAGCAGCATCTGCGGGGAGGGGAGGAGGTGTTATGCCCCAACCCCGGTACCCCCACCCCAACCCTGCACATGAGGAGCCCCAGCTGACAGCCAGGACCCAGGGGCCTCACCTCATGGCTGGCCTGGACGCGGCGGAGGTGCTGCACGCAGAGCTCAGGGGGGCTGGGGCCATGCGAAGCCTGTTCCATGATGAGGGCCTGGGGTACAGGAGGCTGCTGCAGGCTGCGGGGCCCCACGTGGCCGGAGAGGATGCTCCCCCGCTACCCACCCCTGCCGATGCCCACTGGCTTGAGCATCAAGCACTGGGGGGCCCACCCTATCCATGAGCACTGTCCACAGAGACTCGGGGCGGCCTTGGGCCCCAGCAGTGCCACACCACACATCAGCAGGCTCGAAGGGCCACACGGGAGCTGGAGCGCAGGGCAGTGGCCAGCGGGCTGCTAGCCGCACTGAGCCTGTCGCACTGGCCTCCTGCTGTCGGAACTTTGTCCACTTGGTGCTGGTATTCCAGAACTGACACCCCTGTCCCGGCTTCCCGAGAAGCACCACCCTAAGGGGTCCTGCCAGGCCAGGAGTGCCCACCCAGCGCCTTGTGGCAGTAGGTGCAGAGCTGGGCCTTCTGTGGGAAGGACGCAGAGATCTGCTACTCCCCGAGCTGGAGCTGAGCGGGCACAGTGCCCGGGGTGTGCTGGGGTCTAGGGCAGCAGACGCAGCCCAGTGTCGCCCAGCCCCGGGCCGGCCCTGCCGTCTACCTCACCTGCACACGCCTGGTGACGGCACTGTGGACGGCACACAGCACGGCCAGCGAGGGGCTCTCCACCCGGATCTCCACGGCCTGCAGGGGCCCTGCCGGGCTCACATCAGGAACACACACCTGTGGCGGGGGCTAGTCTCAGAACTGCCCAGCCATCCGTCTGTGACCCACAGAAGGACCAGACCTGAAGGCTGCAGGATGGAGCACAGCAAGGGGTTGGGGGGTCCAGAAACCCATGGCCCCAAAGACCAGACCAGTGGGAGCACATGGTCAGGGTGACAGCAGCAGCCCGGGCCCACCTGACCCACCACTGATCCGCCCATCCTGGTAATGGGTCACCGGAGGATCCGGACACCTCGAGGGAGGCCAAAAACTCCCGCAATAAGAGAGCAAAGGCACAGTCTGCAAGCCAGGCACCATCCACACTTGCCTCCCGCACGCGGAGAAGAACGTCAGTCCCATCTGGGGCCACTCCTCGGAGGCAGGATGCGGTTGGGGCCCGAGCGACATCATCATTCCCGGACAGGAGCCACCGCAGAGTTGCGGGCAGCAGTGGCATGTCTGTGGGGACACTGACCTGAGTGGGGTCAGGTCAGGCGGGCCCTGTCCACCCTCCCAGGTTGTTCACACACCTGTGCCGCGGTCAGTCAGGGTCGTCTGGAGCAGCTGCGCCGATACCCTGAGAGCGGCCCCTGTGGGGGGCAGGTACTGGGTCCCCGGCTTGGGGCCCAGCTCGCACAAAGCCTGCAGGAAAGCATCCAGGGGGCACAGGGGGGGCTTGCCCGGGGCAGCGGCTGATGCTGGCAGGTCAGGGAAGCGCAGGGCATGGAGTATGTCCAGCACGTGGCGGCTCAGGGGCAGGCCCACAGCCTCGTGTCTGGGCAGGGCCCCGAGACCCAGCGCTGCCCCCACGCTATCCCGGAGGCTAAAGAGGAGCTGGCAGGACACCGTCACGGGCAGCTCTGGGGCACCGTCCTCGCCGGAGCCCAGCGGCACTGTGAGGCTTCGCTGGGCACCAGGGCCCAGGGCACCCAGTGGCACCATGCAGCTGGCTGCGGCGTCCAGGCCCTTGGAGCCCGGCTGCAGGCCCACACACAGGGCCCAGCCCTCGCCCAGGCTGAAGTCAGGGCTGGTCTCCAGCACGCAGTGGGCCAGCAGCATGTCCCCCGACGGCAGGCGGGTCCAGGAGGCCTGGACGCGGCAGGACATGGGCCCAGGGCCCCCCTGGCTGCGCAGGAGAGCACAGGCCGCGCCCACGGCTGCGTTCAGGCTCTGCAGCGCCCGGTTCTGCTGCTCCGTCGTGGCGTTCAGGGACATGACCCTGCAGAGGACCATGAGCACCATGGGGACACACAACCTGGTCCCCAGAGCCCGTGGCTGCAGGCATGTGAGGCGTGACCTGGCCCCTGCTGCCTGCAGGGCTCTGGGGGAAGGGCAGGGTCAGCCACTCCCCCAGACTCAGCCTTGCTCATGCCTCCCACCAGACTGGCCCCCATGTGGCACGCACCTCTCAGATGTGGCCGTGATCCTGGACAGCAGGGCTCCGATGTGCTGGGCACTCCCTGCCGTGCCGGCCCTGGCCAGGGTCAGGTTGCAGGCCAGGAGGCGGCCCCGCACTGACAGAGCCAGGAGCTCGGTGGTGCCTGAGGACAGACCACAGGGAGAGGGGGGTGCTGGACAGAGAGCAGAGCAGAAACAGAGCACCCACATGACAGACTCCCCACCTCACACCCCCCCCCACCCACAACCAGCCACAGGCCACACCCCCAGGAGGGGAGGGGTTGATGGGGGCGGAGAGGGGCAGCTGTAGTACCTCCTGGAGCCCTGGGGGTCACAGTGAGGGCGGCCAGGCTGCAGATGCTGGTGCTGGCAGGACAGAGGTCAGGGGGCAGGCCCCTGGGGTCCCGGGGGTCACTTCCCAGGGCCAGGTCCACCACTTGGAGGCCTGAGGGGGTGCTGAGCAGCAGGCAGCTGCCTCCATCACCGGCTGCACAGAGCACGGGGCCCGGGATGCGGTACTCCCGCAGCTCCAGTACCGGACTCCCGGCCTCATCCTGACAGGCCTTGATGGCCAACAGCCGGCCACCGCGACCCAGGGCCACCAGGCAGTCGGAGGGTGCATCCCCCAGGCCCTCGGCCGGTGGCTCTGTCCTCAGGACCCCTACCCATACCACTGGCTCCTCCAGGTGGTGGATGGTCCTGACGAGGGCCTGTGGGTCACCAGGGGCCCCACTGGAGGTGACCAGCGCCTGCAGAAGAACTGCACAGAGCTGACCACCAGGGAGGCCGCAGAGGAGCACAGGGGAATGCAGCAGACAGGCGTCGGCCCCGAAGAGCAGCCCAAACAGGGCAGCGTCCAGGCCCCGGGGGCCAGGGGGCGCCACAATGCACAGCACTGGCAGGTCAAGAGGGGCCTGGGGCTGCCCTGGGCTTGCGGCTGGAGTCCCGTCCGCCGGCAAGTCCACTTCTCCCACTGAGTTTGGCGGCATGAGGTTCTGTCCCGGTGTAGTACATGGTGTCAGCTGCACCTTCCAGCGGGCAGGACCCTGTGCCAAAGTGACCAGCATGTCCCCCCACACCACAAAAGCAACAAGTGTGGGGCTGGGGAGGATACAGGCCGCTGGCCCCACTGTGGTCCTGAGCAGCGGGGGCTCACTGTCCACTTCATGCTCGCTGTCTCCACCATCAGTGCTGTCCACACACTGCCCACTGTCCCTGCCGGCTGTGCTGTCCACGGAGTCCCTGTTGGCAGGTACAGGACTTGGTGAGGTCAGGGGCCCATTCCGACATCACGCGGTGCTGGCCGGCCTCCCGCCACCGGGCCCTCTGCTGGGGTCCACAGACTGGCAGGAGTTTCCAGAAGCCGAGGTTAGAGGGTGGGGGAAAGGCCGGGCAGGGCCCTGCGCCGTAGAGCCCCCGGGATGCCCCCGCGGCGTCCGCACCTGCTGTCTGGGTCCAGGGACACGCGGTAGAGGCCGCGGCCGGTGCACAGGGCCAGCAGCGCGGGGCCGGCCAGCGGCTCCAGGTGCCAGACTGGCGCGGGAAACTCGAGCACGGCCTGGCGGGCGAACGCGGGTGTCCTGGGCGCGCCCGGGGCCCCCCGACCCCCCGGCCCGGCCCCCCGGACTCCCCGGGCCTCACGCTCAGCCGCCGGCCCTCGGGCTCGCACACGTGCACAAATTGGCCCCCACCGGACAGCAGGACCCGCGCCCCGGCGCTCAGCACGCGGGCCCTGCCCGGCGCCAGGCCCCCGACAGGGCAGCCCACGTCGACCAGGTGGCGGACCCGAGGGGCCGCTCCGGGACTGCTGGCTGCCGGGCCCGGCATGGTGCGCGGGCAGCAGGGCAGCGCGCCGGGCCGGGAAGCGGCCGCGCCGGCGCCGTAGGGCGGAGCCTGGCGGGGGCGAGGCCACGGCGACCGGAGCCTTGGCTGGGCGGAGCCAAGCGACGGGGCGAGTGGGGCGGGGCCACAGCAACGGGGCGGGGCTTGGCGGGGTCGGAGCCTAGCGGCAGAACGGCTCCTGAGGGGCTGTGGACAGAATCTGGGTTCGAGGCCGGGTCTTGACCAGGCGGGCTGTGGTTCCTTTGCTTCCCTTGGGTCAGCACCTACTCCCCATCCGCCCCCGTGTGGCTAACAGCCCCAGAAGCCGCTCCTCCACTCCCCACCCACTCGGACCTCCGGCGGCCTGGCCACCCATTGCCAGCGGGCACAAGCTGGCCAGACTTAACTGTTGGGGTCAGTGCGAGCTCATAGCCCTGGACCCGTGAAACCAGGACCCCTCCAAGAGGCTGCCTCTCCCGTTTTCTCCAGCATCTCGAGAGGGGCGACCAGTGAGGGGTCAGCCGTCAGGGAGCTGGAAAGCAAAGTGGAGCTCCCCACCAACAAAGGGGCAGCCCCTCGGAGAGGTCATTTGCCTTGTACGCTGTCCACCCAGATTTGATCCCCGGCACCACAGTTCCCCAGCTCCGCCAGGGGTGACTGCTGAGTGCAGAGCCAGGAGTAGCTGCTGAGAATTACAGGGCATGGCCCCCAAACCCAACCCAACCACTGGGGTGGAGGAAGGGGGCAGGTCCCCAGGCTTGGCTCCCATGATTTCAAACACTGAGTGTCCAGCTACTGCATACCAGGGTGTGTGTCAATAGAGCCAGTGGCCACTCTCTCCTATCCAGGGTTGGAAGTGGAGCTGATGTATGCCCCAGAGGTCATGGCAGCCCTGGGGGCAGTGGTGAGGGCAAGGCAGCACACAGCTGTGCTGGTGACTGGAACACTCCAGCTCCAAGCCTGGCATCTGTGCACCCGGGACGTGCATAGGGAATGGGCAGGGCACAGCAGGGCGGGTGCAGTCTTGAACTCCGGGCAGCCTGAGACCAGAGGCAGAAAGCTCCCTAAAGTCACAGCAACCAAGGGCGTTGCGTGCATGTACATGGATTGCCAGGCTGGAAGCCTGGGTCTTGCTCCAGGCCCACCTCCCACAGGAAGGGTCCCTGCCCTCCGCTGGTCACAGAGGGACACGTGAAAGCCACCTCTGGGCCAAGCTGAGTGTGCAGATTGTACAAGAGGAAGTGAGACCAGGATGTTGAGCAGCACTAGTGCTGCTGCTAGCAGAACCAGGAAGCTGCACCTGTGCAGCACCAGCAGGTGGACTGGCCTGAGCTCAGCCATGCACACTGGGGCACACGGGGCGGGGCACCCTCCACTGAGCTCCAACTGCTCTTGGGACAATAAACAAAGTACGCTACTCAATGAAGAGCGACGCAAAACCAGGAGCAAGAAACAGCAACTTTCTTGAGCTAAAAGACAAGAGCAAGTGGACAGATACGTAGGGCCAGCTTCTGGTGCAGAAGGCAGCAGGCACGCAGCGGTGGGCAGGTAGAGAGGACTGTCTGGCACAGGGACCAGGAGACCATGTGTGTAAGTGTCTGGTGTGTGTGGTATACGCATGTGGATGCATGTTACACGCGTAGTGTGGCACGCATGTGTCCAGTCTGTCCGCGTCTGGTTCCGGCAGAGAAGACTCCCTCAGTCGCTGGCTGCCCCTGGGGCAAGCATGAAGCCCCCTGTGTCTGTGGGGCGGGCAGGAGTCTGCAGCAAAGAGCTCTCCTTAAGGCAAAGAGGCTTATGGGGGTCCCCTTGCCTCGGGAAGGGGTGGGGGACCCAGAGCATGTGACTGAGTTCTGGCCAGTCTCAACTCCGCTTCATGGTGCCCCCCACCCTGGCCTGCCCCAACATCACTGCTGAGCCCGAGGGGGATGGCAAGGAAGGGGATACAGGAACCTGGTTCCCAGACCCCCGGGCAGCAGGCGGGCACTGCCTGGGGAGCACTCAGGCACTGAGGTCACTTCCAAGGACTGGAACCCCACCCCCACCCCAAATACTGGCAGGGACTCACTAAAGGGGGAAGGAAGTGGAAATAGCCTCACTCCCTCTTTATGCAATTTTTATCTTAAAAAAATAAATAGCGTCCTCTGGGCAGGAATCATGGATAAAGTGTTATTACAACCAATGCAGACCGTCAGCCACCCCCCCCAGAGCCAGGGATGGGGGCCAGCCAGGACCCTGCAGAGGAAGCTGAAGGCAATGGCCTGAGCCCCGGGGAGCGAGACCACACGCAGGGCAGCCTGCCCAGGGTCCTGCCAGCCAGGAGCGTCGCCGGAGGGGAGCAGGCGGTCTGCGGTGAGGCCTAGGTCCTGGGGAGGCTGCACATCTCGCAGTGGCCGGTGCCTGGCTGGTTCATGAAGGTGCAGTGCTGACAGGCCCACATGGCGGCTGCAGCATCGTGCGCAGGGCCCCCGGCCGCACCGTACTCCTGCAGGCCCGGCAGCTGCACCCCCACAGTGCCTGTGGGAAGAGGGGCCCGGAGAGGCCTAAGCGGATGGACCTGCGCACCCCGCTGCCAGGGCACATCCACCCTCCCCCTTCCAGCCGCTCCTTCCTAGCTGGGCACAACTCTGCTCCAGCACGTGCGACGTGGACAAGGCGGGCCTGTGCGTCTGACCTCTCCCGAGGTGCTGCTGTCCAGTACCCCCTGTATCTAGCCCTCCCAGCAGTGCCCCACTCACTGCAGAGCTGCTCCACGGTGGCCCACTGCTCCGACCGCCGCCAGGTCTGTGCCAGCTCCTCGTTGCGCGTGCGCACGGCCTCCAGCAGCAAGCTGATGCTGTCCTGCGGGGCAGGTGCTGTACTCAGCCCCCACCCTCAGCCTCGCCCCACACTGCACTTCAGGCCCTGCCCTGGACCCTGCACAGAGGTGGCCTGTTCATGGCAGTCCCTGTGAGCCCTTTCAAGGAAGAGCCTTGGAAGGAGGGCCAAGGGACCCCCCACATCCAGCACAAACGGTGCTCACGAGCCGCACGGCAGTCTGTTGGAGACTGAGAGGCTGACGTTTCAGTCTGGAGGACGCAGCCAGGGACCCTGTCCCACCGTGTCCCCAGCCCCCACCAGCTGAGTCCCTTCACCAAGGCCTGTCTACGGGTTCTGCTGTGAGCCGCCCCTCGCCCCCGGCCCAGGCAGAGGCCAGGACCTACCTGCAGAGGCATGACCTCGTTGGTGACCAGGAAGAGCAGAAGGTGGAAGTCCGAGACGGCGTCCAAGAAGCCAGACGAGGCGTTGTGGGACAAGTAGGTGGCCAGGCTATGGAAGTCCTGTGGGAAAGGTGCTTGTCAGCCCAGGCGCTCCCCACAGCTGAGCCTGGGCTGCTGTAGTAGGTTGGCAAGAACTCTGCAAACGAGCGGCCGGGGAACATGTGCACAAAGACTGGGAGTAGGAGGAGCCAGTGTATATGTTGTGTGTGTGCGCACACATGCGTGCACGCCACATGGCCCGTGTTAAACAACACTGCATGCAGCGCTGACTCACATATCAGCTCCAAGGCCATGGTGAGCCCCCCACCCCCATGGCCAGTTCAACAGGCCTGAGTGGTCAGGTCTGAACCAGGTTCAAGCATGCCTCAGGATGGCACCAAGGTGCCCATGGACATGTGCCACTTCAGCTGGACTACGCCAAACGATGGCAAGGCCCACGGCCCAAGAGGGTTCGGAGTTGCTTACCTGTGTCTCCCCTAGCACATCCCGATTCTCAATGGGAAATGGGCTTTGAGAGATGGAAAAGGTGAACACAGGCTCCTTGGGGAAAGTCGTCGTGATCTGAGAGGAAGGGCAGAGCGTGCACAGCTGGAACACTTGCCCCCGGCACCGGCCCCGGTGCCCCAGACAGACGCAGCTCCCCAGGGGTGGCAGGTGCTGGCCCCGAGCACCCACCCTGCCACATCTCCCACAGCTGCCATGGGCCAGCGGCAGCCCTGGGTGCCCACCCGGCAGAGGAAGGGGTGTCTGTGCCTCCCAGGGGTGGGCTTCCCCTGTCCCGGGGAATGAAGGCCGTGGCTATGTCCAAGCTGCTCCGTCCCTCCCGGCTCAGTGGGGGCTGAGCCCCTGTGCAGTTCCCCACACCGAGGCAGTTGGGTTCTGCACGGGTACCATGGCCACCCTTCAGCCAGGGCCCAGCTCGTCCGTGTGTCCTGGAGTGATGCCAACTCTGCACCAGGGCCTGAGAAAGCTGCTCTCCACACCGCCCCCCCCCAAGAGTGCTCCCACCCAAATCTGTACCCGCCTGCCCTGGAAGTCCAGACAGATGTCAGTGGCCACCTGAGGGTCTGGGCAGTACAGGCTGCTGAGCCTGGGCTATGGGGGCTCACTCTGCAGCACATGTAGCCCTCTGTCCACCGTCCACTCTCCAGAGAGGGGCCAGGATGAGGGTCTCTGGCCCTGTGCTGAGTGCCATGCGGGTACTCACGTCAATGATGAGGTACTCCACGGGCAGTGGCCGGGCCAGCTGGGTGATCTCGTTGCCAAACTTGTCGATGTCCTGACACAGGAAACAAAGGTGAGCGGAGATGAGGTGGTCGACATACTGTGTACTTCAGGCCTCGGGCTGGCACGTTAGGGGCCAACATTGCAGCTGCTGCATGTACGCACACAATCTGCACCAGGGCTGTGCTGCCTGAGTCATCACTTAACCACAGACTGAGTTATAGCAGTGGGACCTGACCCTCTCATTGGTCTTCTCAAAATGGAAGCGCATGTTTGGGTGGACACATGGACACAGGCCCAGGGCACAATGGCCCCTCCGTAGGGGGATCTGCTTGCTGTGGTCAGAACAGCACCTCCAGTGCAGGGTTGCCACTGTTCAGAGAGGTCGGGCATGATGGCTGCTCCCCTTCCACTGCTCTGGGGGAAACCAGTGGGTCTACTGTGGCCTGGGGCCAGTGCTGGACTCTGCAGCACTGGCGGACCCCCTTGGACCCACCCTGACCCTCTGTGCCGTCTCTCTGGTCC